CCCCAAAACCCCAAAACCCCAAAACCCCAAAACCCCGTAGTGAAAAATAGTATGATTATTATAAGTAAATGATATTTGCCATAAATAGACGTAAACCTAATTCGTATAATGAATAAACCAGTATATTGTTTAAGTATATTGCTTATATTAATTAATTATAAAATTATATTATTTTTCATTAACTATATCCCAGACAAAACCATTAATTCAAACAGATGAACCCAGAAATGTTTTTAAAGTCATATGACTCATAGTAATAAGAAACAAAACTATCCTTCAGTGGTTTATTTTCAGTCGATCAAGACTTGAATGTAAACACTACAAATGCTCAATCAGAACTCATTAAAGATAAGAGTATGATCTTAAATTTGAGATCAGACGCGAATAGTTTATTTGACTCAGATGAAGCTTACTGCCAACTATATGAACAGTATCATGATTAGTTGTTTGAAAATCTATGGTCGCAAAGCAAGTTAAGCTCTAATCTTTTCTAATAAGATCTCATTTCAGAAAGCATATTGATTTCTGATTTATCAGACTTTACAGTTGATTCCCAAGACAAAACTTATAATGAATACCAATCACAAGCTTTTGATGCAAGAAGATATAATAAATAAAACAATTAAAGCAAGTAGATAATTGATGATAAATCCGTTGCTCATGAAGAACGTCAACAAAAGCAGTACTCTAAAGAAAGAGAGACAAAAATATCTCAAGAAAAAACCATTAGTGGAAAAACTTCTGCCAAAAAAACAAGCAGGAAAAGTGATTCGATCAAGCGATACGAGTAAAGGAGTGCAATTAAGAAGCCTTATAAAGAAAGCAAAAGAAGTTTTTTAACACACCCACCAAATGTGGAGCATTTTGCCTCAAAAGAGCTATAAAAGCTTAAGTAACAACGAGACCGAGCCAGATTTCAAAAGCGAGAATGCTAATGGGAAATTTTACTTGGGGAATTCGGAAAAGATCCGAACTGGTCGACGAAAAGGATTAAGCAAATCGCTTATAGGACCCAACTTTCTGTCACCTAGGTTTACAAATGGAGATGGGACCAAAGATTAATCTAAGATTAGAATTATGAAAGAGAAATTGCTATTAAATTGAAGCGTCATGGAAAGCTATTTGAGATAGAGATTGATCACTCTAAGAGTAATTGAACATATTGAGCAAACATATAGTAACACTAATAAAGAACATACATTTTAGAAAGTACATAATTTCTTCTTTTGACTTATTTTAATTGAGCATTTTTAACCTTCCTTTAATTATATTCATAAAATTCAAATCTATCGCTTATTCTTGCAAAGCGGGGTTTTGGGGTTTTGGGGTTTTGGGG